TAAGCTGCTGGTATCATCACTATCTTCGTCGGTACTTATATATCTCCTTTTTTTTGATTTATTTGACAAAGTTTTCACGGGGTTTTTTTTCAAACTTTTACTTTTTCCTTTGCTCTTTTTAATGCTATCGACATAGTCTTCATCATCCAATTTCTTCTTTTTTTTTTTTTTTTTCTGTTCTTTTTTTCTTTTTTCATTAAGGTCTTTTTTGCTTTTAACCAAAGGTCCATTTACGTTGAATTCATCTATTTCATTACGCAATCCATTGGTTTTTTTCTTGATATCACCATTAAAAGTTGATTTATTAAAAATATCACCTTTTTTCTTTTTAAAACTCTCTATTACAACTATAGGAGACAGTAATTCTTCTAAATCCTCTTCTTCACTCCACTTTCTTTTCTTTTCTTCAAATTTTTCAGGTAGTTTACTAGGCCTGTTACTATTAGAAAACTCGCCAGCCGAGTTTGTTAAATTAAAAATTTTCTTTTCGGATTTACCCTTAATTTTTTTAGTTTTTTCTATATCAACACCTAAGACAGCCGCAGTTGACGATTTTTCAGCTTTAAATTTTTTCTTAGGTTTCTTTTCACGTTTACTTGAATAATTTGTTGGCGTCGCAACTTCTTGTTGACTATCAGAATCCATTCTTATCAAAATAAAAGATTAAAAAGCATTCAAAAACTGTTGATTCATTTTTTTTTTAAATTTGCGCAACTCCTGACGGTTACGGTAATCTAGAACCCCACGATTTGTACATGTCATCTGACCATCTAATATAAATATATATAAGAGTCCATGATTATCTATTACTGTATTACTGGTCTACTAGTAATTGGTTTAATTGTTTTGTGGGAAATACCGGTAAAAAACTAAAAGAATAAAAACTTATACTTTTAATAGATAAGCGTAATAAATACAATTATACTTTTTATATAATTATTCATTATTACTTTTTAAACAATTAGTTTTACATAAGATACTTTGTTAACCTAATATAATAAAGTATATACGTATGATTCTCTTTTTGTTTTGCCGGCCCGTAAAATAATGCTTTTTAAAAAAAAAAAAAAATCTCGGCCCGCATTTTTTTTTATTTAACTATGTTTTGAACCTTTTTCAATTTATGCCTGGGCCGCACAGACCCCTAACTCTAAGTAGTTTAATTTATAAAAAAAAAATCGTCTGCTAAATTAATAATTAAATAATAAAATATATATTACAGTATTATCTATTATCATTATCGTTATACATTTGTGTAAAGAAATACTGTAATTTGCACGTATGTACGTACGTACGTACCTGCGTACATATCAGATACGTATCAATATCAGATAACAGAAATTGTGCTAACAAAAAATAGTACCAAAACATATCAGTTGTGGTATATTTTTATTATTAACCTTAAGATTAAAGAGAATTAAAGTTTAGCATTAGTGAAGGATTTTTGGGGTATTTGGCATTTTTTTCATGGAGAATTAAGCACAAAAGCACCAATCACTTAGTGTGTTTCGATCCGCAATCCGACTAATTCGGATAGATCCGATAATTCGGATTGAATTCGGATATCCGTATCCGTTAATTTTGACCGGATAGATCCGCAATACATATCGGATTAAGGATAAGGATTATCGTTATCCGGACCATAATTCTAGATATCTTTCATGTGATTGGTCAATTTGAGAAGCGAACGATGATAAATACTAATACAGTTTAGCCCTTAACTGGTATAAGGATTTTAGCGCGCAGCCAATATAGAATCCGGGTTTATCCAGATTCGGATTATCATCCGAATACACAAAGTAAGATCCGAATTCAATCCGAATGGCTCTTAAAGAATAGGATCGAAACATTACAATCACTTACGTCTGTACATAGATAATAAAAATCACATGCTACTATATTAGTTGTACAATAGCGATAGAGACAGTAACAGATGATTTACGGACAGTTCTTAGGAATTATTGACCATAAAAACTGTCTGTAGACCGGCGTTGAGTAACGACACGGCAACACGTGTCCAAATTATTCCACACCTAACACGACCCATATTTAGGAGCATAGCAGAAGTTCTAAAATACCCGGAAAAAAACTTTGATCATACCTCGGATAGCATAGCGGTCTTTAAATCCGATTGGTCAATCACTGACATATATATACCGCATATATCATCTGACTTTAAACGAATTGTTGGCCATGAAAACTTTGTCAAATAAATCAAAAAAAAGGAGATATATAAGTACCGACGAAGATAGTGATGATACCAGCAGCTTA